GAACTCGCCCCATGCGCCGTGCTAGCTTCGCGGAGGATGGTGACCTGTGCCCGCTGGCGCGGCCGCTCCCGCTTGCCTTTTCCTCTCGCCGATGTGCTCGCCTTTCCCACCCACGCGCCTCCCGCTGCCGTTTTTGTTCCCGCTCCATTTCCCCTCCACCACGCCCCCCCTCCCGTTTCTCCCTTCTTCCTCCTCCTCCTCCTCCTCCTCTTCTTCCTTCTCCTCCTCCTCGTCGTCCTCCTCCTCCTCTTCCTTTTCCTTCTCCATCCATTTGGCTTGTAAAGAACTCGCTGTCGCACGCCAAGACGTGACGGTAGGCCAGGCCAGGCGTTTCGCTCGCTTGAGATTTCTTTCTCGTCCATTCGTGCTCCAGAAGCTTGACATTTGCAGCGGCGGCAGGGATGGAAGGGGGTCCGTTTTCAAAATGGAGCTCTCGCCGTAGCGCGGCGCACATTCGTCCAAGCAATTTGTACTAGTTACAAGGATTGAGGGGGATTGTCGTGCCCAGTATTCCCCTGAGCGCCGCGCGCATTCGTTTCAAGCGCTTGCCACCGTTACAACAATTAAGGGGGAAACGGGTTCCAAATGTGGCTCTCGCCTAATCGCCGCGCGTGTTCTTGTGGAAAGAATTGCAGCATTCATAAGGGTGGAGGGCGTTTCCTTTTCACTCTTGGGCCTTCGGTTTAGCGCCACGCGTATTCTGTGGGGAAATATTTTTCGTGAAAACCTTGAACAGCTACCATGATGGAGGGCGGCTGTTCTTCATAACGGAGCCCTCGCCACAGCGCCGCGCAAATTCGTCTTACAATTTTGAAATACCTACTGGGAGCGCCCACAGTTTCTTTTTACCACATGGCTTCCTTCGACAGGTCCTCGAATTTCAAGACCATGAACTTCAATGCGTGCAAGAAATATACGGATGGGTGGCAGTTCCTGTTCAACGCAGGGATCTCGCTGGTAGGCAGGAGCGCTGGAAGTACCCCGGGTTATAGGATGAAGGAAGAAGAAATTAGAGGAACATCAAGTTAATTCAAGTACAAGTATGTGACATTGGACTCACATGGGACACCCTCTACGCTCCTTTTATAATTCGCCAGAAAAGGACTCGTATTGTAAATCGCCCATACGAGGAATCCGATTGAAAAACCGCGCAAAATGATTCGATGTGTAATTCACACACTACAAATCAACATGCAACTTGCCCACAATAGCACTTCGTTTGACAAGGGATTCGGAGCAAGATTTTTTTGTTCGGAAAAACAAAAAACAAATCAATCGCTCCAACAAAATACGTCGCCCTTCTCGTTTTTTTCCCCCTTCCCCGCCCCGCCCCCGTCCCCCCCCGGAAACAACGGGAAGATCATTTTTTTGGGAGGGGGGGGGGTTCTTCCGGGAAGGCATTTCGGTCGGGGAAGATTCAAATTTGGATTTTTATCAAGTAGAATCACGCAGATAATCTGCTGTTTCTGCAGCTTTTGAGATTCTTCTGCTGGCGATTTACAACCTGATGTTTTGGTGGATTACACGTGGAATCCCTGAGGGCGTCTTTTGCAGGAAGGGTTCCTTCTGTGGGTCATCAGCATTTTGAAATTTTATTGCGTGGATGTGGCTCCATCCCTAAAATATTTGTTTTGCAGGATGCTCCGCCTCTCGTCGGGATCTGTTCGGGGTAAATCGCAGCCACCTCCATTCGAATCTCATGAGAGGTGGATCGGCCCTTCATTGGATTCTTTTGGAGGGGGTTCCATTCATAATTGCATGCAATTCCAGGTGAATCCACTTCTACTAACATTGCATTCAGGGTGGTTTCATCCTTCATTAGATTGTATTGGGTGTGTGTCCACTTTTAATGGGATGTCTGTTTGAGGTGGATCCACGTCTGATGAGATTTTTTGCACGTTGTTCCATCCTTGACAGGATCCCAGTAGATGTGGATCCACTTCTAGTACGATTCGATTAGAGGTGAGTCCTGCCGAACTCAGATTTGATTGCGGATGGCCTCATGCACAATGGGTTTCTCTTAGAGGTGGATCCACCGCTATGGTACGTCCACTAGCAGTATGTCCATGTGTACCATGATGCTAGAGGTGGTCTCATCCCCCACATGGATTTATTAAAGGTGGTTCCAAATTTGTCAGGATTATGTGGACAATTCTACTTATTATAACTGGTTCCTTCCCTGATCGATTTTAAACCAAGGTGGCGGGGTTTACATATTGGTTTCTAGTGTGTGGATTACAATGAAAATCCCTTTGTGCGGCTTTCCAATCGGATTCCCTTTGCTGGTTAGTTCTAAGGGGATATTTTCTGTGCGGGTTACAAATAGAATCTCCACGTGCGGCTTTACAATCGGGGTTCGTTCTGTGGGATATGTACATCTTCTCCATCGTGTGGAGGTGGCTGAGGTGGCTCCATGCCTCAAACGATTTTAATACAGGTGTCTCCGTATTCAACCGAAGTCTATTAGAGATGGGTCGCTGCCAACCCCAATCGAATCTCATGAGAGGTGGATCCACTTAGCATAGAACGGGACGCCTGGAATATATTCTTTCAGGGGATGTAGCCACTTCCACACGATATAATAAAACATGTAATGTCTCCACAAAAGGAACCCTGGTACAAAACCGCACGAACGGATTCTATTTGTAATCCAAACAATAGCACTTTGTAAATCACCGACACTGAGAATCTGATTGAAAAGCCGCACAGCAGGACTCTAGCTGTAATGCACATGCTAGGAATCAACATGTAGATCGCGTCACCCCGGGTAGAATTCGATCAGGGAAGGAGCCATTTGAAATGCCATCGTGTGCAGAATCGTATCAGGCTTGTAGCCACGTGCAGTACCAATCACATGAGGTATTTATTGATAGCTAATGTAATTATAATCTAGACGCCTCGCGTATCCCCACCAGCCCAGGACGGTTGACGTCGAAACATCCAGCGTCACGGACGACAGGCCCCCGCTGCCGAGGAAGCAAGATCCACCACACCGGGCTCCTCCGGAAGGGTACGTGCGAGGCTGGGACCAGAGCAGCAGACGAGGACAACGAGACGGTCCAACTCAGCACAACGCTGACGACAGGACTGGTTCTTCGCGCGGATACAGGGACCAGTGGAGTTACGACAGGTCCTCAGACCGCCGGGCCACGCATTCTCGCGACGACGCATGGCGTCCTCAGGAGATGCGCGCGGGAAGCGACGGGATTGTCAATCATGGCATATGATACCCTTCTCCAAGAACCCAGTGTCCACCAACGAGCTCAAGAAGAGCGACGGGTCCAAGATGTACAAGGCACCACTACGCACGATCGATTCACAACACTCCTGTGAGTCCGACAGCGCTTTCATCCTCAGGATGCAGAAAGAGCTAGGCAGCATGTTCAGCGACCTGTGGTGTGCACACTGTATCAAAACTTGCTTCACTAACGCCCAGCCGACCTTTGACCCAGCACTGCAGCCGCCCAGCGTGTGCCGAGTTTTCCTCAACGCCTGGAGGTTCGCAAACTACGACGTGCACCGCGCGGACCATATCCTGCGCACCAAGACCTGTTTTCGCAGCCCAGCGGACAGGCTCACGGCTATCAATAACGCCTCCAGTTCAGGAGCTGCCAGCAGCAGCGGGACCGCCGCCTCCACGCCCCACGCAGCGGGAGAGCGCCCGAGCAAGGGGAAAAGCAAGTCGAAGGACGGACCCGATTCATTGGGCAAGGCTGGGCAAAGGAACCGATTAACCGAGAGCCCATGGAGTTCATGGCACGAGAAACGGTATCGTCAGCAATAGTGGGCGTGGGGCATCGCCCAGTTTCGACGAGATACGGCTCTGTCATCACACTGGGTATGCGGTGCGCCAGGCGACTACGCTGCCAACTCGCTCTCGTGTGCTTTCGGCGGTTGCCGCGTTCCCCTGCTCTCCCTTCCCCTCTGCCTCCTTCGCAGTCACTGCGGCTCAATGCTGGCATCAGACTGGCAGCCCAGCGTGATTGTCCCTAACAAGCGTCCCATTGAGGAGCGCCCGGAGTGCTTCATCGACTGCACCCCCCTGAGGGCTCTTGCAGTAACTAGCGCGTGGCAAAACGAAAAAGCATGCATTGCCTACACCCGCTGGTGCATATGGGATGGTGTGCTAGCTCAATGGAGGACTTCATCATCCGTGACTGCATGCTATTTCGCGGCCGAAAGGTCCCAGCTGTTCCCGGGACTTCGTGTGAAGAGCAATGGCAAACTGGTGCCCGTGGCGGGTTTACTGAGGTAAGCTTCGATACCGAGCGCCTGGCGTGCGCGTCAGTGTACACAGGGTTGTGGTGAGCTCTCCTCCTGCTTCTCCGTTTGCTTCAGCGGTTAGCTGACTCTCCCCCTCCTGCGTCGCTGTGATCATGTATTCGGTACCGAGCGCACGGCGTGCGCGTCAGCGAACTCCGGGTTATGGGAAGCTCTCTTCCTTTTTTTCTTTTTGCTTCAGCGGTTCGCTGACTCTCCCTCTTCCTGCGTCACTGGGATCATGTATTAATTGGGACTGGGTGGTGCAGTGCCTACTGGCTGCCTTCAGCCGGCGCCACCCCTCCCCCCCTGCTGATGGCCGAAAGGGTTCATTGGGCTCTGATGCTCGTGTCTCCCGCTTCCTATTGCCGCAGCGGTTAGCTGCCACAACGGGTTGCGTACCGCTCCTGGCGTGCACTTCCCCACATCTCTCTCGTTTCGCCGGGTTTATCCCACGCGGCTGGGGTCGCCGCCAATGCTGCTGTCCGTTGGTGCTCTGACAGCCTGAATTCCATGCACGGTTCACACTGGGAACGGACGGTCAGGTGGCCCCTGACCTACTCCTGTCTGGTGTCGCCTTCGCTGGCGACTGGGAGGGTTCCGTGAGGTCTCGCTTCGAATTCCATGCGTGGCCACACCGGGGATGGGCGGCCAGATGGCCCGTGGCCTGCTCCTGCTTGGTGTCAGCCTCCACTGGTGACCGCTTGGGTTCCGCGGGGACTTGCTACGGTGCCGTCCTC